ACTGTCAACATGATTATCAACAACTGCTTTGATTATGAAATAGCAATGTTACTGACATAGTCAAAGTAACTTTTAGTTGAAACGAAACCATTTCAATGTCATCAATTTTTGAGTTGGCAAATAATGGCCAATTCATTTTTGACAATGTTCAAAACAATGGTCGACTTTGAGTTATGTTACAGGGTTACAAGTTATAAGTATGTTTAGTACAAAAGATAAAAATGATTAGGAATTTCAGTGAAAAAATAAGGCATTTTTAGGAATTCCCTTCGAGTTTTTCACTTTTTTAGGAATATTAGGGACGCTGGACAGCCTGCATTAGCTTTGAACCACAGCATCAGCAGAAAGTTACAGCAATGCATGACCATCATCTGAATGGTCACCTGAAATAAAGTTGACAATACTGATGCACTGCTTTTCATGGTGACATGCAGATGGCTATGTGGAGCACAGCAGCCTTGAGCATAGTAATGTGATGCTGATGCAGGCATACACATTCTCTTCCTGTAAAATACAAAAGGCAAAAGCAGTACCAAAATTTAAATCTCTCTGAATTCCTCGGCAATATATTTTTAAAACTAGAAATGTGTCATCATGCCACGGATGCCCCGCATGCAGCCAAAATTTCAGTATGGTGCATTAATTATTTTTTTCATTTTAAGTTCAAAGCCCTTAAAACTTTTCAATGTTAACACAAACCATTTTCATACAATGTTCAAGGCACTGAAATTATTCAGTCTAAACCTTTTAAAAATAGCATATTGCATATTTGTAGCCAAAAAATGGCTAAAAGTAAGAGTGCTGAAACTGAAAGTTCAAAATTTTTCCAACATTCAGGAAAGATAAGTTTGTCTTAAATCATTGAACTACAACCAAATTCAAACTTAAACTGCTTATTCTAAGATGTATCTATTCATTTTCAAAGTGGTAAGGGACATAACTCTGCCAAAAAATCATCAAACCATGACTGAATTCCAACTTGACCTGCCCATTCCTTTGAATATCCATATGTCAAATTTAAGTTGAATATGTAACACTGTTGGGTAGATAATGAACAGAAACTGTAAATTTCATATTATTTTCAAAAGTGAAAGGGGCATTACTCTGCCCCAAAATCAATTGAACCATGACCAAATTCGAACATGAGGCCCGGGCATTCCAAAAACATATCATATGTCAAATTTGAGTTGAATGTGTTGTACCATTGGGAAGATAATAACGGAAACTGAAAATTTCATATTACTTTCAAAGTGAAAGGGGCATAACTCTGCAAAAATCATTGAACCATGACCAAATTTGAACTTGGCCCGGGCATTCCAAAAAACATATCCATATGTCAAATTTGAGTTGAATGTGTTTGTACCATTGGGGAGATAATAAACAGAAACTGTAAATTTCATATTATTTTCAAGTGAAAGGGGCATTACTCTGCCAAAAATCATTGAACCATGACAAACTCGAACTTGGCCTGGGCATTCCAAAAAACATATCCCATATGTCAAATTTGAGTTGAATGTGTTGTACCATTGGGGAGATAATAAACGGAAACTGAAAATTTCATATTACTTTCAAAGTGAAAGGGGCATAACTCTGCCAAAAATCATTGAACCATGACCAAATTCCAACTTTGACCTGCGCATTCCTTTGACGCATCCATATGTCAAGTTTGAGTTGAATGTGTTGTACCTTTGGGGAGATAATGAACGGAAACTGAAAATTTCATATTATTTTCAAAGTAAAAGGGGCATAACTCTGCCAAAAATCATCAAACCACGACCAAATTCAAACTTGACCTGTATTTTCTCATGACATATCCATATGTCAAGTTTGAGTTGAATGTGTTGTACCGTTGGGGAGATAATGAACGGAAACTGAAAATTTCATATTATTTTCAAAGTAAAAGGGGCATAACTCTGCCTAAAATCATCGAACCATGACCAAATTCAAACTTGACCTGTATTTTCTCATGACATATCCATATGCCAAGTTTGAGTTGAATGTGTTGTACCGTTGGGGAGATAATGAATGGAAACTGAAATTTCATATTATTTTCAAAGTAAAAGGGGCACAACTCTGCAAAAAATCGTCGAACCATGACCAAATTCGAACTTGACCTGTATTTTCTCATGACATATTCATATGTCAAATTTGAGTTGAATGTGTGCAACCGTTCTTAAGATAATGAACGGAAACTGATGATGACGGAATGACAGAATGACGGAAGGACGGAACAGGGTAACTCTATATGCCCCGGCCATTACATGGCGGGGGCATAAAAATATAGGAAAAATATTCAAAATATAGGAAAATATAGGTAAAATAGGAGGCTTTTTAAAATATAGGATTCCGACCCAAAATATAGGAGTTTTATAGGAATATAGGAATTGGTTGACAGCCTGTAATCTTACTTACGAATTTCCAGGAAATTTGGACAGCACAAATGTACATGCTGATCTCCCAAAGTGGTTGGGGGATAGAAAGCTAACAAAACTGAAAGGTTGAAAAATAGCTACACACAACCATTTTTGGTCTGTTCATTTCAAATGCTTCAAATGTCTTATATTGCTTGTAAGTGGTTACTTATTCTAAAACACTTCTCATTATTGCCTTTTAAACAAACTGTGTACTCAAACACAATAAACCACAGAATAAAGCAAGCAATATCTACATTCCGAATGATGTCAGACGAGATGTCAATAAACAAACCAATATCATGAAAATTATACTTTTTCTCTCAATGTAGTTCAACATATTTAAAAAGATTCTCTTTCTGCTAGCAAAAGATGTCAATTTTAGTTGTAAACTGATGATATCTATATATATCTAACTGAAAAAGGTAATAAAGTTGAAAAGATAAGGGGAATTATTCAAAATATGATTATGCTGATAAACAAAATATATACTAATGTCCTTATATTTACCTTTTTATAAAAGGTGAAGGGGGATTTCTCACGTAAAATGACTGTACTGACAAACAAATATTAATACACATGTAAAATTTTATATATCTACCTTTTTATAAAGTCGCCATTTAGTATTCAGTTTCTCTAAAGACTCCAGATTCTGTCTGAAGACAGCAATATCTGTTTGTAAAAATGACTGACCATACGCCTGAAATAATAGATAGGTACATCACTGTAATCTTTGTAGAAAATATTCAAATGAAAGTAGTAAAGATATAAACTGTAAACATCACAGAGATGTGGAATTATTATTGCTTATCTAACCCTTGGTACATTAAATATATTATTAACATCTGTCAAATGATGCGGTTCCAATCAGAATATCCTTCCTGAGGGGATCTGTTTATTAACAAGCCTCATTACCACCCATGGGCAGGTTCCCCAGGGACGGATATTCCGATCTGAATCGCAAACATATGACAGATATTTTTTCTTTCATATTCTACCATATTCTATCAATTTTAAATTCTTTACCTTAATACAACAATTTCCATGGAAATTTATGTCATTATACCAATTACTATTTTTTTACGACAGCATATGAAATTACACCTTCATTCATTATGGTGAAATTACGTCATCCTAGGCATGCCATCGTACAGCATGTGACTCATCTAGCACCTCCCATGCCAGATGAAATTTCCAGCATGGGTTAAACTAACGGAAACACTAGTCTGATATGCAAGAAAGATGGTCTTGTCAATCTTTCAAATCTGGACAAATCCATTCATCAATTTTAGGTAAAATAGAGTTTATACTAATTTATTTTAGTTTGATTGTAATGGAAGCAGTTAATTCATTCCTAGAACCGACCAGTACTAAGCAATGAGTGTATAGTTTCCTGCTCACAAAAACAACGACTTGTCCCTGACAAGGTTTGAACTCACGTGGCCAGCACACCTTGTATTATAAGTCTGACAAGTTATCCACTTGGCCGTGCCACCACTAAATTATACCCAGTAATACAAGTAAATCTATCAATTTTATAACAGTTATAGAGCAACAATTTGCTAAAAATTAATCATAAAATTATTGCATTAACTCTAACCTGCATTATAGCTGAAAACTGTGCTTCATTCTCCACAGTTTCCACTTTGCTTCTTAGAGATGTGAAAACAGACCCCTTGAAGAAATACTTCCAGTTACTGAGGAGAAATTCATGTAGTAATTCATACAACACTTGTTTCATATCGGGTGAGGAACGCTGAAATATAAAATATCTTATGATTACTGAAAATTTTAGGTGGTTTGATTTTCTATATCAACAGAGGTCAGGCATTATTAATTATTTATTATCCAAATTAACACATCACAATTTGTATCCAATCCTTAAGGAGTTTCTCTTTAAGCTTCTACAATCCATGTCAATGCATTTACTTTTTTTATGGTCCCAAAAATTCAGCCACTTGGTTTGACATGAAATGAATGCATTGGTCTCCAAAAAGAGAGGTTTAGTTTAAACAATATTTTATTTATAAGTATTACATTTACATGATAATTGACAAATAATAAATAGTACGGATTGAGTAGTAAGCTTGAAAGCTTTTTTAAAAACTCTTTCCGTGAGAGGTTTGACATTAATTGGTAACAAACAAACAAATATAGAAAAGTTTTTATGATACATGTAACATAAATAACATTGATTTATTATATATGTTCCATACATATATGTGTTCCACGCATATGATTATCTATAGTACTTTGTAAAATTTGTCATCTGTACTGTAACAGGACATACATGTTCAATATAGCTAAAATGCTACATAGAAAAATTTACTACCTGAGCTATAACAGGATATATATGTTCCATACATATATCTATAATACTGGGGAGAAATCTTTTGAATGATGAACCAGGTTCTTGTATAATAATCTGTAGAATCTTCAAAAATCTATAAAAAAACAGCACCAATGTTAAGATAATGTAACTTTTTGTATGTATTTTGACATTTTCAATATTACATTCTATTTATTTATTAAGCAAGATTTTAAGATTCACTGACACTGAATTTATTGGTGAAAGAAGACTTCAGGTGCTCTTCTATACAACACAAATGAACATACAAGGAGACCTGCTAACCTCTGGTAAGTATATCATATGAAAGCATCAAAAGGAATCCAATTATAATCATCAAGATTAAAAGTGACTACACATACGTGTTACAACTGAAAGTTGCATGTGTAACCCACAACACATGATTTTGGCATTTATGATGAGCCCTTGTGCTGAAAATAAAATGGCACCAGTGCACTATAGGTTATACAGCCGCTTTCCAGTTTTTCTGGTGGAGGAAGACCTCGGATGCCCCATCTGTGCATTATTTCAGGCACAAAAGGGCATCTGAGTAGAAATGAAATATTTCTGAAGTTTTACAAAAAATCTATCAACTAAGCATCATCCTATGGAGATAACAGTTTTGAACTTTTTAAATACTGTTCTATTCCAACTTACTTTTCTATCACTCGATGTGCAGCACTGCTTTCATGTCTTATTGTTTCTGCCAACTGCTCTCTGAATATACAAATTATTCTCAATATTGTTATTTTATGTTTATAGAAATAAACATTAAACAAGTATATTTATCTCACTTTATTTGTTATAAAAACATAATTTAACATTTACAAAGTGAGCTAAAATAAGTTTCTTTTTAACGATAAAATATATAATGTTATGCAATAATGAAACTTTTTATAGTTGCATCACAAAAAGACCCCATATTTATCTCTGGTCTTTATTTATTATTATTTCTAGAATGATAAAACATCTTTGGTAGAATCATATCCCTTCTGTTTATTTCACCATATAAATGTCATTATTCCCCCACCCTCCAATTTGGGTTTAAACCTGCAGCTGTAAATGGCAAGTATTTCAAAGTCTGTCACCATACCACTTAGCCACACTATTATATTTGCTTGATCAAGGATTTATTTACAATGACACTTGTATATTCACAAGTGTCATCTTTTAAGTTTAACTGGTAAAAAATCCCTACTTGCTTATATTTATTCAAAAAGTTTTAACTCTAACAGAAGCACTGACAAAATCATGTAAGCAAATATTATTGTAAACTTTTGTTATTGCCATACTTGCTAAAAAGTCCCATGAATGTTTGAATGGCATGTTCTGTAAAAGGGACTCCCATCTGTACTCTACATGACTGAAACAAGGCCAGGAAAAATGTCATCAACTCTTCTACCACATCTGAAAGAACAAACATTACCACTATTTACTGAACTGCAATACTGAAGTTTGAGAAAGGTCTGGCAGACCCTCCACTAGCATCATTTCAGACACAAGTACCTGCCTGAGAAAAGCCACAAAGTTCCTTTAAACAAGCTGAACAGCTTTCTGACAAGAAAGAATTTCATTCCAACTTCTTTGATTGGAATCAAACCCATATTGATGAGTGGTAAGTGATTTGAAGCCAGCGATCTTAACCACTCAGCAACATGAAGTGTAAGATTTTAACTCATTTTAACTCACAGAGTACATTATAAAAATGGTATGGCAACTTCAGCTTCAACTAATAACGGAAGACCTAATATGACATTCTGTGATTTTTTCCCCCAACAAGAGCAGTCATAAAACCAGTATCCTTCCACACACCAGTTGGATAGCATTTGAAGGTATATAAATCACTATTTAAGTCAGTTTAAGTATATCTGTCAAACAATCAGCTTTCCTGCTTCAACTGCTGTATAAAACCCCACTATATATTATTTTAACTTGCATGCAAATTTTACTTTAGGTCTTCAAATTGCTGAGCTGAAAATGAGCATTTTCATTAGACCACAGATATTTTACAGCAGCATTTTATAGGTTATTTCATTTAATCAGTGTTGGTCAAATAATGGAAATATTTCTTTCAAAGAATCAGGAAATTTTCTCTTCTCAACACTATTGCAGCAAAATTTCGGCAAAAAAATCTTCTGCAGAGAGAGAAACTTATTCTTATGTGTAATGCAAAAAGTATACAGGAGTTATTGCACAAATATGCACACATGTTACATAGATATACAATATAGGCATGTGCATGAAATTAGATTATGTATATGCCCCTTATGAAAAGGTAATGAAATGTAAAAGTATCATGTTTCTTGTCTTAGTTGCTGTTTAATATCTGGAAACAACTAGGATTTTACAATAATGGACCAGTCATGCATAAACATTTTCCAACACCCCCTAGCCCAGATGTTGAACACAAATTTTGACATTTGACCTCTGCATGACCTTGACATCTGTGGCTCTTATATGTATACAATTTATTTCCTTTCAAGTGTAAAGACCTCAATTAAAACAGTATTGAAGTCAAATAAATGTTATACACTTATGAAAAAATATTGACTATACAATTTGATTAATTGCCTTTCATAGCCTTTAAACTATTTTCAGACCATAAAATCAGCTAGAAATAAACTGTCAGTAGTAGCCTAAACGTTGCTGCCCTGAAGGTTCAAACTCAATCATTGACAAGCTGTTATTTTCTTGAGCAAGAAATTTTACATTCATTGCTTAGTATTGGTTGGTTCCAAGAATAGATTATTTTAAAGTGTGTCCATAAGCTTATAATTACAACAAAATCACAATATAAATTCTACATAAACTAACATATCACTGTAATCTTACCAGGCTGATGAATGAAGACTGGAAATACTGCCAGACTAATGTTTACAATCTCTGACATAGACTGGTAGCAAATCTGTTTTGTTTTTACTACTTCTCCCGACACACACTCGACCCAGTCTACCATCAGCTTTAAACTGTTACTTATAACCAACTTGGCTGAAATACACATTACAATAACAGATAAACAGTGAAAATGATATAACTAATTCATTTTCATACACATCATAGTATCAAGGCTTGCAACTGTTATGATTCATATTCTTTTTCCTTATTTTTAATTTAATACAAAACAATAAATAAATAAATGAAATGTTCCTAATTTAATGAAATACAAGTGCTGCCTTGGTTGAGTGAATAATGAAAAGACAAAATCTATTGTACCATCAAATTACATCTAAGTAATTAAAGGTCTGAATAAATCTCAAAAACATCCTTTAATACCCTTTAACACTATGAGGTTACCAGTACAATACTGGATCATAATATTTATTGGATGAGGTACTAGTTGCTTGGAGGAGTACAATATGGATTTGATATGGATTTTCTTAACTTGGGAAATGAAACGATTCTCAACAACAGAAATCTTAATATAGATTCTTGGACAGTAACATGAAAAAGAGGCTAAATTGATAAGATTGGATCCAGTAATGAAATATATTGCATGATCACATTTTGGAGCAAAAGCTGAAAGTTTACCAGTTTTATAAGGTGTAAAATAATTCTAATATAACACATTTTTATAAACATTTACCTGCATCCTGGGCAGTTTTGTTGTTAATCAGCGACGAAGTGTCTTTCAACTGGAAATATGGTGCTGCCATCTGGTGGCAGAAACTCTCATGATTGCTGGCTCGGTTACTCCAATCTTGTTCAGAATCAGGAATATTGTTCCATGGTAGTAACAAGTGAAGACTGAGGGCTCTATACAACAACAGTTGTACCTGACAAAAATACATGCAATTTGGTTTCCAATACAGACTGTATTCTTAAATTAAAGAGCTGATGAATAAATATAGACAATGAGACCTATTTATCTACTTCCTATGTATTTTAGATTATTTCAAGAATATTAACAAGATATGTTTGTAAAACATGTTTGCCCCCTATCAGCAGCCAGTAAGTCATGTGATCAGGTTATTATGCACAACTTCTGACCCAGTGAAGAAAATATGACACTGATCCCTTGATCCCAAAATCAATAGGGGTCATCTACTGGTCATGACTAATCACCATACCAAGTTTGAAGTTCCTAGGCCTAAGTGTTCTTTAGTTATTGATCGGAAACCGTTTTTACTTACTAGGTCAATGTGACCTTGACCTTTGACCCCTTGACCCCAAAGTTAAAAGGGGTCATCTGATGGTCATGACCAATCACCATACCAAGTTTGAAGTTCCAAGGCCTAAGCGTTCTTTAGTTATTGATCAGAAACCGTTTTAACTTACAAGGTCAATGTGACCTTGACCTTTGACCCCTTGACCCCAAAATCAATAGGGGTCATCTGCTGGTCATGACCAATCACCATACCAAGTTTGAAGTTCCTAGGCCTAAGCGTTCTTAAGTTATTGATCGGAAACCGTTTTTACTTACAAGGTCAATGTGACCTTGACCTTTGACCCCTTGACCCCAAAATCAATAGGGGTCATCTGCTGGTCATGACCAATCACCATACCAAGTTTGAAGTTCCTAGGCCTAAGCTTTCTTTAGTTATTGATCGGAAACCGTTTTTACCTACAAGGTCAATGTGACCTTGACCTTTGACCCCTTGACCCCAAAATCAATAGGGGTCATCTGCTGGTCATGACCAATCACCATACCAAGTTTGAAGTTCCTAGGCCTAAGCGTTCTTAAGTTATTGATCGGAAACCGTTTTTACCTACAAGGTCAATGTGACCTTGACCTTTGACCCCTTGACCCCAAAATCAATAGGGGTCATCTACTGGTCATGACCAATCACCATACCAAGTTTGAAGTTCCTAGGCCTAAGCGTTCTTTAGTTATTGATCGGAAACCGTTTTTACCTACAAGGTCAATGTGACCTTGACCTTTGACCCCTTGACCCCAAAATCAATAGGGGTCATCTACTGGTCATGACCAATCACCATACCAAGTTTGAAGTTCCTAGGCCTAAGCGTTCTTTAGTTATTGATCGGAAACCGTTTTTACTTACAAGGTCAATGTGACCTTGACCTTTGACCCTTGACCCCAAAATCAATAGGGGTCATCTGCTGGTCATGACCAATCACCATACCAAGTTTGAAGTTCCTAGGCCTAAGCGTTCTTTAGTTATTGATCGGACACCGTTTTTACTTACAAGGTCAATGTGACCTTGACCTTTGACCCCTTGACCCCAAAATCAATAGGGGTCATCTGCTGGTCATGACCAATCACCATACCAAGTTTAAAGTTCCTAGGCCTAAGCGTTCTTAAGTTATTAATCAGAAACCGTTTTTACTTACAAGGTCAATGTGACCTTGACCTTTTACCCCAAAATCAATAGGGGTCATCTGCTGGTCATGACCAATCACCATACAAAGTTTGATGTCCCTAGGCCTAAGCGCTCTTTAGTTATTGATCAGAAACCGTTTTTACTTAAAAGGTCAATGTGACCTTGACCTTTGACCCCTCAATAGGGGTCATCTGCTGGTCATGACCAATCACCATACCAAGTTTGAAGTTCCTAGGCCTAAGCGTTCTTTAGTTATTGATCGGAAACCGTTTTTACTTACAAGGTCAATGTGACCTTGACCTTTGACCCCTTGACCCAAAAATCAATAGGGGTCATCTGCTGGTCATGACCAATCACTATACCAAGTTTGAAGTTCCTAGGCCAAAGCGTTCTTTAGTTATTGATTGGGAACCGTTTTTACTTACAAGGTCAATGTGACCTTGACCTTTGACCCCTTGACCCCAAAATCAATAGGGGTCATTTGCTGGTCATGACCAATCACCATACTCCTAGGCCTAAGGGTTCTTTAGTTATCACTCGGAAACCATTTGGTCTACGGACCGACGGACCAACAGACAGACAAATGCAAAGCAATATACCCCCTCTTCTTTGAAGTGGGGGCATAATAATTTTAGCTTTATATTAACTGAAGTAAAGCATATGTGTATAAGATTTAAATGATTAATCAGAGTCTTCTAAAATTGTAGTAATCACCTAAACATGGGCAAATAGTTTTTTCACCCACTTGAAGTTTACCCAAAATTTTGACACCTACTCTAGACTTTGTTTTAAAAACAACCTTACTAGGTTAAGCTGATTATGATTACGACAGGCCTTAACTTTAAATAAAATAGGTGATCATACCTCTATATTTACTTTCCTAAATGCACCTTGACTTGCTTTATTGTAGAGTTCTTGGACACACGAGATTTGTAGCAAGAAGTTAGGCCTTACAGTGGTCACTAATGAAAGTAACAAGTGGGCAGCCGAACGTGAGATCTTGTCAGGTATCTGGAAAATACAAAAAAATCATTTTATTCTTTAACAAACAATTACTAATATCCTTTATTATTAATTTTTCATGTAAGTCAACAATCTTTAACAAAAGCAACACTATTGTGAATCATGAACAATGTGTTTTACACAAATATGAAATAAGTGTTCATCCTAACATTTGTCACCAGAATGGAACCAGACAAGTCTGTACTTTTTTATGCAGTCTGACCAGGCCCTTTAATATTGGACGCTAAATTTTTGTGTATTTTTATATTAAAATCCCTAAAAATTCAAATTGACTGTTCCTAAATCGAATCTGGGTAAATATATTACACACATTTAGTGGGTCACATGTTAATAAAGCTGTAATTCTATCTATATGTTGCAGTCTAACTAGTCTATATAATGTTGGTAGCTAAATTTTTGTGTATTTTGATATTGAAATCCCTTAAAAATTTAAATTGACTGTTCCTAATTCGAATCTGGGTAAATCTATTACACAAATTCAGCGGGTCAAGAGTTAATATATCTGTTCATTTTATCTACCTGTTCCTCAAACAGACCAGTGATGGCATCCAGTAATGTTGTAACCATGTCAGTAAACTTCTTCCTCTGATCAGGATAATTCTGTGACTCCGCGTAGAACTGTGACAGCCAATGAGCAAAAGGTTTGATCGCCGCTAAAGCTTGAGCATGCCTGTAATATGTAATTATGATTAAAAGACATGCATCCAGGATATATAGGTATGCATTTTAACAAGAAATGAAATTTTAGCATAATTGCATTTAATCTGATGGGTATTTTGGTGTGGGGAGGGGTTTAAATTTGTAATTCAACAGTATTTTAAATGTACTTTCATGCAAATGATCTTCATCAATGATAGGGTTTGCACAGTGAAAAGTGTAAACTGTTTGCCATACATTTTTACATGTATATCTTATCTGGATGTCTTGCGTATCTCTGACCTCATTATAACAAATACAGTGAAATCTGTGTTAATAAACATCTCTTAATAAAAATCACATGTAGATAAATGTAAATAAATACCTTAATTACATGCCATCTTTTGGATTTTCAATTTAAATGATTAAAAATGTGCTAAAGGTAATCTTCAAAAGAGCACAATTCTATTTTCATTTCTGGCTGGTCTTAATGGAGAAGTTTTAACTGTGAATAATCTTCAGAGTAATGAATAATTTATCAAATTCTGCAGAACAAATTGTTTTCCCAAGATAATTTAAGAATAAAGATAAAATATAATTAAAGAGAAGATAGTAAAAGAATAGAAATTGTATGCCCATCCTTGATTAAATTTACGCAGGCAAACAAAAAGTAATAAATATAGTTTCTCTTACACTTCAATCAGATCTGTTTGTAAAACACTTTGCTCTGTGGACGTCAGTTCAAACAGCTTCACTCTACTACCATACACAACCATATGTATTAATCTGAAATATGATATTCATAAAATATTTGCAAAAAACTCTTTGGAATCATTTACTTACTTTGACTTAAAAGGAAAGACTAGCAGGTCTTTGATACTACCGATAAGATATTGGTACTGCTACTGCCTACATTTGGAAGCATATCCTTGTTCAGTTTTGAAATTGTGAATTTCTTCAATTAAAGAAATATATCTACACAGAATTTGTATACTCAACAAATTTTTGCATTGTTGCCTGTACAATTTTATTGCAGTTGGCTCTCATTATCTCGAAGTCATTGGGACTGTCAAAAAATTATCTCAGTCATTGGGACTGTCAAAAAAATATCGAGATAACGAAATGTCCAGATAAACTTATTTCGTTTTGAACAAGTGAGAAACTGATTTTCACAAAAGACACTACATGCAGTCAAAATCTCACTTTTTGTGCCAAATGTGCAGCCTGACCAGGACTAGGACCACTTGGACTATACTAACTGAGCTATCTGACTGCTTCTCCCCTAAATAGTGAACATTTCTAAACCATGGCATATATGACAGTATGATCGCACAAAACATATCACACACATTGACCAATCTTACACAAGATACTCACCTTTCCATTAATACTTGACCGTCTGTAAATCTTTCAGCAAATTTTTCAGCTATAAAATGATCAGCTAATCTCCCAAGCCCTTGTAACAGGGATGACAGATCTCGTAAAGAACAATGCAGACGTCTACAGTCATTCTCCCCTCGTATATTTAAACTACGTTTGGAATTTGTAGATTGAATATGTCTCTCTAAACCGAAATATATTTCCATCACTTCTTGAAATGGTTCATACTGAAAAAGTATATAAAAACTGAATGGAAAAGTATTCATATATTACATAATCATTGAAGTTGACTGTAACAATGTGATTGAATAAGTCATTTTCTATTATCTTACAGAAGACACAAAAACTGTTTGTTGTTGATATAGAGGATATTGAGTGAGTGTAAGATTAATATTGTATTTATTGAACAAGTTGATAAAATTATAATATGCTCTGGCGAGCATTATATATTATTTCATTCAACAAGTTCAATAAATTTACACAAAATCAATATTCTTTTTATCACAAACCAAAAATACAGATCATTTGATTGAAGCAAAAAAGAACCATTTTTCGTTGACACGCCTATAGTATAACACTAACATCTAGCGCGTCTTAACGCTATGTTTTGTATAACAAAAATGACGTCACATCAGAATATATGCACGGCCGTGCAATACCATTTTTACAAAGTTGTAAAAGCAGCAGGGGTGTGAGATAAATATTTGTTCTTATCAATAACTTTTTCCAAACTGAAATACTTTTAAAAACATAAGAGCTGTCAGAAGGACAGTGTGCTTGACTATTCTCAGTGCTTGATAAAACAAGAGCCTTGATAATGTACAATTTTCTAAGTTCAGAAAGGTCCATAATTTTGTCAAAATGTTGTTAGAGTTATGGACCTGGGACAGTGACCTTCTTTTATGCTCCCAAAAAAGTGCATGAAGTTTCAACTCATTCCCTTCAGTAATTTTGGATATACCAACATGCACACAAAAATTCAACCAAAGCATGATGCCCATGCAGATTCCTTCGTAAGAACAATAGCTCTCCTTATTCTCCAAATATTTGAACTAAAAATTCGTCAATCATAGTGTATCTTCTCATCTTTAAACTTAATATAGTCACAACAGTGCTGTGTTAAACTTAAAGTTTGTTTTAAGTTACCAGTTTAAGTATATTTCATTTACCAGTATCTGGAAGGTCTCGGCTGTCAGTATTTCTGCTACTCGGGCAATCAACTCCAGACATTGTCGTAGAAAATGCTGCCACTCTGTTTCCTCCTGAAAGTAAGAAAAATGTATTTTTAGAAATTTCTCAATACTAATGAATCTTGGACATCTGCCGCCCCCACACCCCTCACCTCAGTCTAAAATTGCATCATCAGACATTCCCTCAAGCTTTATAATAGCGATTTTCCAGATTCCTGGTATAGAAGTTTTTT